ATTGACTGTATTAATAAGATTTTTCTGATAATTGCTTTGTAGGTCTTACACTATCCCAATAAATTCATTAAGGGAAACAATCAGCGAAGGAACTTTGATCGCAAATTTAATAAGCCCTGTGTTACGAATTTTTTTTCATGATTCTTACATATATCCGACAATATGGCCGAACACATCTAGCACCAGCGCAAAGGCCAGAAAGCTCGCTGCAGGTGAACCTTCTCGGGCCAAACAGCCCGATATGATTGGGAAGATTGCCGTTAATGGTATTTATAAAAAAATAAAATAAAAAGTAAACGCAAATAAGAACCAATTTTCTAATTCTTTTCCTAATATAAATAGGAAAGTTTGCTTATGAGGCCATGTTCGGTGAAGTAACTGGTGAGGGTAAGAACAACACCGAAAAGAAAAACCTAATCGATCTGATTAGGTTAGGATTATTTATGAAGGATTAGTCATTGGTAAGTTTGTTTTCTAAGAAATTTATTTATTTTTCCAATTAATAACCTCTATGTAATAAATAGTGACAAGGTGGACCGGTTTTTTAATGACTTTAATTTCTCCTTGAGTATATATTATGGCAGATATTGGCAGCGTAGAGCTGCCAAGGTCTTTCGAAACATGTTTTATGTTTTTAAATGGATTAGATACATTACGTTCATTCGAGGTATAACTAGTAAAAAATTTTTAATACTGCATTACTTGTTATTCTGTATAAATTAATTCCAAATGGTTCTTCTAGTTGGCATATGAACGAACAGTTAAGGAATTTCTTTCAGAAATAAATAAGAATGAAGACGATATCAAGAATGATAATTTTAAAACATGGCGTCGACCGACACTCGGAACACCAGCATTTAAAAAGATTGTCAAATTTAAATAATTTTAATATAAAAATATTAGAAATATTTTTACAACATATATAGTTTAACATAAATATCTTTACCTCAATCGTTTATTAAAAAACTAATCATTTTGTGTATTATGTTCTTTTTTTTGAACCTTCAAACCGCATGTCCGTTCAATCCAGTGAATCCATTCAATTATCGTTATGTGGATTGTCGATTATCTGTACGGATTCATGTGCGATCCGATCAAAGCCCCTAGCTGTCCACAAAATTTTTTCCACCCCTTGTAATAACGACCAATCGAATTTCAGGATCAGGTGTAACGTGAAAATCGAAACGAAGCAAAAAAAACAAGAATAGCCCTAAATTTTAATTAGGAAACCGCCTTCGTGGTCTAATGAAAAATGTTTCTTGTAAAATTTTACTTGTAGACGTCACATTATCCTAATCCTAACCCTAACTATAATTTTGCACGTAACTTTACTACCACGTTACACCTGATCCTGAAATTCGATTGGTCGTTATTACAAGGGGTGGAAAAAATTTTGTGGGACAGCTACGTAC